GCTCTGCTCTTTCTCGTTCTTGCATTGCAGGGGGTTGGGCTGCATGACCGTTTGGGTCTCTTCCAGCTCCATGAGTCTATAATTCTGTATATCTGAGCTGTTTTCTGTGGGGCAGCCTCCACCAGGGAAGGCCAGCATAGAAAAAAAGCTTTAAAGATGAACCAAGAATTCCTGCCTTTTGCGCCTGGACAATGGGTGTTTCGCTGTAGCTTTCTCTTTGTCCAAGATCTGCTTTCCCAGATGCTGAAATCATTTCTGTGACTTCATTCCTTGACTAAAGGTGAGAGCGGGCTAGTTTCTTGCAGTGGGAGTTTGCCTCCTATCTTGATTTCTGCCAAAAAAATGCTAGAAAGTTACTTAAAACCAAACAAGCCTAGGAATCTGCGGCTTTCCCTGGAGAGGCAACTGGTCCTTGGACGCCCAGGGGGTCTTTGTAGGGTCTTTGGGAGCCCTAGTGTATGTGGTAGAGGACCTAGGGGTTAAAATGGGCTTTGTATGGTGACCTCCCCATCACACTGTGAAAACTGAGAGGGTTCTTGAGAGCTCAACCCAGTTCTCTTCTCCAGCTGCACAATGCTGAAGAAGGGAAATAATCTGTTTCTTCCCTCTCCTGGCCTCCTACCCACAAGGGAAGTTCATGTGCTGTTTCTGGGCCTTTGAACTGTTTCTAGGAATCTTGGGTTTCAGATTGAGAAACACAAGAATACCTGAAATTAACATAATGGGCGACCGTGCTCAACCTTGAGTGTTGGCCGGCAGTTTCTAGTGGGTGGAGACGATGCGCTTGGCTCTCTGGACTTATTAGGCAGAACATTTTCCACTTTTCAATCTAGCCCTCTAATCCAGAAAATATCACCCAGAGTTCTGTGGTGTTGCATTCCAAAGAACGGTTATGCATTACGAAGAATTTTCCCTTCCCTTCAGAATGATGCAGCTGCATGTATTTCTGAAGCATGTGAGGAAACCTAATGTTGTAGGTAGGCACAATCCTTGCATACAGTTATACCTCGGGTTAAGTACGTAATTCGTTCTGGAGGTCTGTTCTTAACCTGAAACTCTTCTTAACCTGAAGCAGCACTTTAGCTAATGGGGCCTCCTGTTGCTGCTGTGCTGCCACTGCACAATTTCTGTTCTCATCCTGAAGCAAAGTTCTTAACCTGAGGTAATATTTCTGGGTTAGTGGAGCCTGTAACCTGAAGCGTCTGTAACCCGAGGTACCACTGTATTGAGCAGCTTCCAGCTGAGCCCCTTTGGCTGTGACAAAAGTGTGTGTGTGTGTGTATTTGCTCAAGCATTTATTGCCAAGCCCACACAAATACGAGCTGTTTTGGCTCAGTGCGTTGCCATGTGCTTTTGTGCTTGGGCCTATGTTTTTCTCTCACCCACTCCCTCCACAACCCAAAGGGCTAGGATCCTTTTTAACAAGTTGTAGAACTTGTACTGAGCAGCTGTTTCCACCCTCACTTGTAAGGCGAGACCCATTTGTACTATACATTTAAAGCAGTTTCATATTGCTTCAAACAGCCAAGGCCTACCCCTCCCCCCAAATCCTGGGAACTGTAGTTTGTTAAGGGTGCCTTGTAAAGGTAAAGGTAAAGGGACCCCTGACCATTAGGTCCAGTCGTGACCGACTCTGGGGTTGCGGCGCTCATCTCGCTTTATTGGCCGAGGGAGCCGGCATACAGCTTCCGGGTCATGTGGCCAGCATGACTAAGCCGCTTCTGGCGAACCAGAGCAGCACACGGAAACACAGTTTACCTTCCCGCCGGAGCGGTACCTATTTATCTACTTGCACTTTGACGTGCTTTTGAACTGCTAGGTTGGCAGGAGCAGGGACCGAGCAACGGGAGCTCACCCCGTCGCGGGGATTCGAACCGCCGACCTTCTGATTGGCAAGTCCTAGGCTCTGTGGTTTAACCCACAGCGCCACCCGCGTCCCCTACCCACGTAGTTTGTTAAGGGTAGTTTGTTAACAAACTACCCGCATGGTTTGTTAAGGGTGCCATGAGTTTACCCTAATTCTCAGACTTCTCTGGGAAGAGGGATTGACTGTGAAACTACTCTGGCAATCGTAGCTTGCGTGGTGGTGCAAATAGAGGTCTCCTGACAACTCTCAACGCTGAGATACACATAATTCGCCATGGTTTTCTGCTATTACCCTCAAACTCAGGCAAATGGGGACTGCAATAGATTCCCTTCTTCTGTTGGAAGACTCACAGATCTTCTCTCTCATCAAGCAGAGACTGTTAGATCATGAAATCCAAAAGCTCTACCCCTCCCAGCCTTTTGTATGTTCATCTGCTTACTTAGGATCACAGCCTCACCATAGAGTCACACCTAATTACTTTTACAATTTAGAAACTCAGTTGCAACACAGAGCTTTTATGCTAGCTTGTCTAAATGCATTCCCCTCATCTTTATGGTTTGGAAGGTTTCAAAAAAATCCACTCCCAGAGCAGATTCTGTTCCTGTAATAAGAAAACACCAGATATAGTCAAACCTTGGTTGTCAAACATAATCCGTTCCAGAAGACTGTTTGACGTCCGAAACGTTCAACAACCAAGACGCAGCTTCTGATTGGTTGCAGGAGCTTCCTGCACTCAAGCGGAAGCCGCGTCGGACGTTAGACTTCCAAAAAACGTTCAAAAACCAGAGCATTTACTTCTGGGTTTTCGGTGTTTGGGAGCCGAAACGTACGATAACAGAGGTGTTTGGGAACCAAGGTTTGACTGTACAATATATCACATAATATAATATATAATATGGATCACCCTCTTCTTGACACCCATCGCAAGGATCTCCTAGTGACTCCCTTAAATATCAAAATAATGATTTGCAGAGAGTCTGTAATCTGATATTTGTTGAGGGATAATACTCCTGAAACTACCAAGATTGTTTCGGGGTACTTAGCCGAGATCTTTAAAGCTAAATGTAAAGTTGCCTGGTTTATTCAGTGGTGGTTATTTAGTCTTTTGTATATTGCATGTGTTTGGATTATCCATGTATTTGGATGGCTTTGTATGCTTTTACTGTTTTAACTTATGCCAATAAAGGCTGGTTGCAAGTTGCAACTCCCAAACCCTTGGGTGGTGCAGAGTTAAAAAGGGCAATGGCTACTTCCCCAAAAGTCAACGCCTCGAGGCAGTAAACAAGGAGGTGTGGGGTCCTTTCCGCCCACCAACTGCCATGCAAGCCAGACTTCCTCCCTCCAGGCTTGAGTTTGTGGTCAATCAACCAATGAGAACGGGCTGGAAAAAAGCTCTTCCTGGATTGTGTATTTTTCATCTGTGACTGCCCAGATGGGTGGAGGGGTCTTCAGAGAGAAAGGGGGGAGCACTGTGCTCCCTTCTTTGCTTTCAGACCTTTTCCCAAGTCAGTGTAAGGTTACCATAGGGACGCGGGTGGCGCTGTGGGTTAAACCACAGAGCCTAGGACTTGCCGATCAGAAGGTCGGCTGTTCGAATCCCCACGACGGGGTGAGCTCCCGTTGCTCGGTCCCTGCTCCTGCCAACCTAGCAGTTCGAAAGCACGTCAAAGTGCAAGTAGATCAATAGGTACCACTCCGGCGGGAAGGTAAACGGCGTTTCTGTGCGCTGCTCTGGTTTGCCAGAAGTGGCTTAGTCATGCTGGCCACATGACCCGGAAGCTGTACGCTGGCTCCCTTGGCTAATAAAGCGAGATGAGCGCCACAACCCCAGAGTCTGCCACGACTGGACCTAATGGTCAGGGGTCCCTTTACCTTTAAGGTTACCATATTTTTTTCAATGAATCCGGGAACACTTTTCAACTTCTTCTTTTTTTTAATAAAATTTTTATTAAGATTTTTACATTACAAAATAGAAAAAGAAAAAATACAAAATAAAAATATTTAAAAACAATCAATCTTTTCATCACATTATTTTCCATTTACTTGTTTCTCGTACCTCCCTTTTTTGTATTCCAGTTCAATTTATTAGCTCAGCAGTTTCTTTCCCTCTTTCTTCTACCCAAATCTTTAATCTTAAATTATTATAACCTTGAATTTTTACTTATAAAAAACCATTTTTTCATATTCTTTTATACCATTACAGCTACTTCAATGGATTTTGTACAGGGACTGATTTGTAAATCCGGGGACTGTCCCCGGGAAATGGAGACGTCTGGTAACCTTAGGTCAGCGGTGGGGCCCAGGGTCAGCGCGTGCCCCTCCAGGTCTCTCTGTCTGGCCTTTGAGACTTTCTTAGCTACACCGCTCTCTGCAAATGTGTTTGCCTGGCAGCCCAGGCTTTGTGCCCTTGTGTTGTGATGATGCCTCTTGGTTGCCTGGGTGAAGCAGAGAGAGAGGTGTGGGGCGTGTGCTGGAAACCTCTGACTTTTACCATGCAAAGGGAAGTCACGCCCATTGCTCCGCCCAGTTTTTCCCCTGGCCCCCCCTACCACCAGCACACACCTCTGGCAGATTGCCAGCGAGGCCCTCTGGACTGTAAAAGGTTATCCACCACAGCCAGCATGGCCAATAAAAGGTAAAGGTAAAGGGACCCCTGATCATTAGGTCCAGTCTTGACTGACTCTGGGGTTGCGGCGCTCATCTCGCTTTATTGGCCGAGGGAGCCGGCGTACAGCTTCTGGGTCATGCGGCCAGCATGACTAAGTTGCTTCTGGCGAACCAGAGCAGCGCATGGAAACGCCGTTTACCTTCCCGCTGGAGTGGTACCTATTTATCTGCTTGCACTTTGACGTGCTTTTGAACTGCTAGGTTGGCAGGAGCAGGGACTGAGGAACGGGAGCTCACCCCGTCGTGGGGATTCGAACCGCCGACCTTCTGATTGGCAAGCCCTAGGCTCTGTGGTTTAACCCACAGCACCACCCGCGTCCCAGCATGGCCAGTAGTCAGGGTTAATGCGCGGCCCATCAGCACCCAGAGAGATGAAGTTTTTGCATCCCAGGACTAGTCTGTGATGGTCTTCCATTTGGGCTTGAGTCCACCAGCCCTGATTGTCCTCTTCTCTCTCCTGTACCAGGTAGGTGAGAAGGTGATGGTGATGGCCAGGTCGGGGCTCTGGCAGGAAATTGTGACCGTCCAAGCCAACCAGACATTCCCCATGCCGGAAGGGATGAGTTTCGAGGAAGCAGCTGCTTTTTTGGTCAACTACATCACCGCCTATATGGTCCTCTTTGACTTCGGCAACCTGCGAGCCAACCAGAGCGTCCTGGTCCACATGGCAGCAGGTAACCAAGGATTTCCCCCTCTGCAGTAGGAAGCTATAGATCAATGAAAGAGGAACTCGCAGAGCAGTCCTTGACTTCCTGCTTGTCTTCCTGTACTACGAATGTATTTATTACATTTGTATCCTTCCTTCTCTCCAAGATAGTTCGCAAGGTTCTCTTCTTACCACCCACCCTTTCCCCATATGTCACAAGGCCGCTTGGTCAAAGCTGGGGTCATGGTTTGTTTCTCCCTAACAAGCCGGGATCACGACCCAGGCTTAGCTGCTGTGTAGACTTGTGAAATCCTGGCTTGTTACAGAGAAAGAAACCACAATTCCAGGTTCAGATTTCGCAGTGATCTGACTTTGTGACCTGGTAGCACCATAGAAGGAGTGAAAACAGGCTATGCGCACCAGCCTTCTGCTCATGTATCTTGTTGACGTGAGAGCGCAGCCATTGCGCAATAGAACGGGACCTCCTAGTCACTGCCAAAGTGTTTACAGTGGTGCCCCGCAAGACGAATGCCTCGCAAGACGAAAAACTCGCTAGACGAAAGGGTTTTCCGTTTTTTGAGTCGTTCCGCAAGACGAATTTCCCTATGGGCTTGCTTCGCAAGACGAAACGTCTTGCGAGTTCTTGCGAGTTTGTTTCCTTTTTCTTAAAGCCGCTAAGCCGTTAATAGCCGCTAATAGCCGCTAAGCCGTTAATAGACGCTAAGCCGCTAATAGCCGTGCTTCACAAGACGAAAAAACCGCAAGACGAAGAGACTTGCGGAACGGATTAATTTCGTCTTGCGAGGCACCACTGTAATTGCCGTGATTCTCAAACTAGCTTAATTCGATAGCATAGATCAGCGGCCGCCAATCCTTGGGGGCCTGTGGGAATGCTTGCAAACTGGAAAAATGGTTGTCAGCACCACAGCTGCAACCCGCAACTTATTCTATTGGCTAAAATATGCTTCTTTCGATCCAAATTTCAGGGGTGGGGGCCCTGTGAGGACCCAGTTCCTGGCATACATATTCCCTTGAAGCTTTTTTTGATTTGATATTACCGGAGAGAACATCTCTGATGGATCTTAACTTAGGCAGGTTTAGGCTCGGGAAGCGATGAACGCTGATACACTTCCGTGAAACCAACTTTTCCTTGGCTCTTCGTAAGCCAATCCACGTTGTCTTCTGTATGGGCCAACGGAGCAGCTACTGTTTACTGAATTTGGCAGCGAGTGGAGAGAATATTTCCCGCGTTGGGATGGAGTTGAACGAGGCCCCTTGGCTGCCAGTGGCGCCACAATGCGCGGCTTCACTTGCCTCTGTTTCCTCCTTCCAGGTGGTGTGGGGACTGCAGCCGTCCAGCTCTGCAAAACTGTGGAGAACGTCACTGTTTTTGGTACAGCTTCTGCCTCCAAACATGAAATCCTCAAGGAGAATGGGGTCACCCACCCAATCGACTACCGGACAGCTGATTATGTGGCAGAAGTCCGGAAAATCTCCCCCAAAGGTCAGTAACAGAGCAGAGGCAGAGAGCTCTAGAACCAGGGTGCAGCAGGCAAAAACTTTCCTCCATATAACTAGACCTTTGCCCCTTAACTATCTGTGGCCTTTTAGAAGTGTATGGGTTGTTCTTAAAAAAATTCTCTTCCTCCTGGTTTTAACGTACCTATGTGGGGTTTATTGCCTGCCTGTCTGCCTGTTGGATTGGTAGAACGTTGCTTTGGGGTTACCCTGGGCAAGATAAAGCAACCAACATATTCAGTAAATAATAATAACAATAAAATAACAATCATTATCATTATCTCCATCTCTGGGTTTTTGCTTGCGACGTGGTTTTCAGCCGAATTGTGATAACCTGTTGCAAAACTCCACCAATATTTTTTTTTAATTATCCTGATTTGTAAAGCTGTTAAGGGGATCTTGGATAATTAATCGTAGTAATTTAAATTAAGCAATTAATTCTGCTGATAAAAACAAGAGTCCTGGAGAAAAAAGCACTCTTTCCTTTCATTAGGCTAGAGTGCTGTTTAAATTTGGCCAAGGGAATACATCACATTATAGTCTTTTTAATATTAAAAAAAATCAGGGCTTTCCCTTCTGCAGTTTTTGGAATGTTCCCCTAAGGGAAATGTGTTTACAACTGTCCAGAAACAGATATTTCAGACGTGGAACTGGACATTTGTTCCTGAATACTGGAAGGTCCTTATAAATCTTTTGTAACGGCAACTTTCTCTCTTTGTCTTGTTAGGTGTAGATGTCGTCTTAGACCCTCTGGGGGGTTCAGATACCACAAAAGGCTTTAATCTCCTGAAGCCAATGGGGAAACTAGTCACCTACGGTGAGTAAAGAAAACTTGTTGGGTAACTGAATTGAGGCTCCATCCAGCCCTGGAATCTTTTGAATCCCAAAGCGCAAAATTTGAATCTTCGAATAGGAAAATTCCTCTGTGCATGTGCAGAATGCTGCGCTTTAAATGTGGAGCTCAGCTCTGCGCTGGAGCCAGTTTGCAATGCCCCAAGGCTTAGCTACTGGAGCCTGAGAAATGGAAATGTACAAGGACTGGCTTCCTGGGGTCAGACCAAAAGCTCCCATCTTTCTATCTCCAAAAGAGCCTTTGAAGCACCCCCCCCCTTTATCTGAGTCAACTGAGCACCCTGCAGCTGTGACAGAAGCTTTGTGGCATGTGGGAGTCAAACGCCAAAGCTGTTGAATGCTTCTCTCCCCCTGCTTCCGGCAGTGAGCACACTGTAATTCTGTGCTCGCAGACAAAGCCTTTACACAGTCGAACTGGCAGCCGAGATCAGAATCTTGCAACCCCGGGGTGGCCATCTAGAAGTTTCAGAGTTGAAACTTGCAGGCCTTTGCAGACGCCAACATGGTGTTCTCAAAAAGGTCACTGTCATTTCCAGTTCTGCAGTGTAAAGACCCCACATACCAGGCTGCCGTTTATGGTTATGAATTCATTACGAAACCTAAATTTGTTTCAGCCTGATTTTGACCCTCGTTTTGACATAGATGGCCTACATTGGGAGAAGGAGGGTGGAGAATAATAATAATAATAATAATAATAATAATAATAATAATAATAATAATAATAAAAAATATTTATATGCTGCCCATCTGACTGGGTTACCCCAGCCACTCCGGGCAGCTTCCAACAGATTCTTAAAAACACATTACGACTTCGCTGAACAGGGCTGCCTTCAGATGTTTTCTAAAAGCCAAATGCAGTTGTACCTTGGTTGTCGAACGCTCTGGTACTTGGACATTTTGGCTCCCGAACGCCGCAAACCCGGAAGTGATTCTTCCGGTTTGCGAACGTTCTTTTTGGAACCCGATCAGAAGCCGTGATTTGGTTTTTGAATGTTTTGGAAGTCGAATGGACTTCCGGAACGGATTCCGTTCGACCTCCAGTTTACGACTGCAGTCATTTATTTCCTTGACATCTGACAGGAGGGCATTCCACAGGGAGGGTGCCACTACCGAGAAGGCCCTCTGCCCGGTTCCCAGTAACTTCACTTCTCGCAGTGAGGGAAATGCTACAAGGCCCTCACAGCTGGTACTGCTAAGTCTCTCAGTGGCTATGGGCATCATTGGCCATGTTATCCTTCTGTGGTTCAGGGCCACTGGGTTCCAGTAGCTCTATCTTCCTGGATGGCCACTTCCAGGAAATGTTACTAGAAGCCTGCTGTTACCCTTCCTCCTGGCATTTGTGCCTTGTGGTTTATTCCTTGTGCCGCCTTTCAACCACATGAAACCACCCAGTAAGATCACCTGGGGTTCTGGAGTGTCGGCAGGTACTGATGACCGCCCCCTTCAAAACTCCAGGTCACCTCGCTCCATCTCTCCTTGACATCTAATTCTGGCGAGGCACAGGAAGCCTTGAATTGGCTATCAGTAACGAACTAGATAAGGGCGATAAACTGAAGCTCAGTCGCAAAAGAGGGGAGGTACTGGTATAGCTCAGGCCCCCATTGTTCTGGAGGGGGGAAGCGTAGGTTCCTTGGCCTTTGAAGCCCTGTGGGGCTGGGGACCTGGGTGCTGCAGAGATCGTCTGCCTCCACTTTGGGCAGAGTAGCTAAATTGCACCTAGGAAGCCAAATCATGCGCAGTACTGACGCTTTTCTTGAGATTAAGGCCATGTCCAAGCACTTGTTAAAATATTCCAAGGCCTTTACTAGCAGGACATATAGCTAAGGACGAATACATGCAAAGGATTTACATTCACATGCTCTTCCAAGCACGGGTTTAGTTTTTCCTAGTTGAAGATTTCAGCCTCTTCCTAAGAGAATGTGAGACAGCGGTTTTGAGCACGTGCAGAGCACTTTGTCAGTTGCCCCTAAGCAACTCTTGTGTAATAGCACACAACAAAATTAACTCTTGAAACACCAGCAAATAATAATTAAGCAGAAATTCACTCAGAACAATTACAGTGGTAATTGCTAAACGATGACCAATGACGATAACTGCAAGCCCCAGTGCATAAAATTCCACAATACATGCAAAATCATGTAAAAGGAACAAATTGAGAAACAAAGACGCACAACTTATAAAATTGTGGTTGTTTTTTTTAAAAAAAATCCTCCCTTCCCAGCTGCTTTTCCTGTTCTTAAAGTCATGGCCTGGGAGAGGCTAATTGCTCAGCTAGACTTGACTGAGGTTGCCTGTGTAGGAGAATAGAGTTAACCTTCCAAGACATCCTGGCCGCTGTATGCTACTACACTGGTACCTCGGGTTACAGACGCTTCAGGTTACAGACTCCGCTAACCCAGAAATAGTACCTCGGGTTAAGAACTTTGCTTCAGGATAAGGACAGAAATTGCGTGGCAGCAGCGCAGCGGCAGCAGGAGGCCCCATTAGCTAAAGTGGTGCTTCAGGTTAAGAACGGACCTCCAGAACGAATTAAGTTCTTAACCCAAGGTACCACTGTACTGCGGCCCATGTTTTGTTAGCCCAAAAATGTAAAACGAGCAAAGTCCCAACTAAAGAAGAATGGCAACTGAAGCTGACGGAATATGTGCAGCTTTCAGACCTAACACACAGAATAAGAGAACAAGAAGAACATACGTTTAGAGAAGATTGGAACATGTTTATTGAATATATGGGGGGAGGGAATTGTGTACACTTGAAAATGTTGGACAGCATTAAGATAAACAGTGTAAATAAATTTTGATGGATGTAATAATGGAATACTGAATGGAATAGTTTATGTAAAATATGCATGGATTTAAGATTTGCAAAATGAACCATGGAAAGAGAAGAAGGGAAGTCATGGATATTTTAAGGCTGTTTAAATGAGTATTCTAAATTGTAAAACAGAAAATTTAATAAAAATTTACATATATATAAAACAAGACACCCTGGCTGCTTTGCAGCAGCACCCAGGCAGTTGCTAAACGATACGTCTTTCCGCTTGGCAGGTGTAGCCAACTTGGTAACAGGGCAGAGGAAGAACCTGATGGCCATGGCTAAGACCTGGTGGAACCAGTTCAGCATCAATGCCTTGCAGCTCCTGCATCTCAACAAGGCCGTCTGCGGCTACCACCTGGGCTACCTAGATGAGGAGGTGGAGCTCTTGAGCAGTGTGGTGAACAAGCTGTTGGCCCTCTACAACCAAGGCAAAATCAAGCCCAAGGTGGACTCCGTTTGGCCCTTTGATCAGGTGAGTGTGGGCGGCAGCGCAACGGGCTCTTCGCGTGCTTAATGCGATCGGTTTCTAGGTGTGATTCCAGGGCTTTGGCCGTTCACTGGAGACCCTCCATTTAGGAGCAGGAAATCAAAGGAAGGCCTATAGGACTGGGGGGGGGGGGACGACCTGGCTTGTACACGTGCAAAGAGATTATGGGGCTTTAGGTGTGAGCACAAGCTGAACAGGAGCCAGCAGCGAGATGCAGCAGCTAAAAAGGCTAACACAATCTTAGGCTGCGTTAATAATAATAATAAATTTTATTTATATCCCGCCCTCCCCAGCCGAAGCCGGGCTCAGGGCGGCTAACAACAATAAAACAGTACAACAGCACTCTAAAATCATTCATTATAAAATTAATTCAAAACAAACCACTGGCAACCATTGGGCCAGAGCTCCGCGAAGATTGCCGAGGGAGGGAACAGCTCTGTCTTGCAGGCCCTGCAGAAAGATGTCAAGTCCTGCAGGGCCCTAGTCTCTTGTGACAGAGTGTTCCACCAGATCGGAGCACAGCCGAAAAAGCCCTGGCTCTAGTTGAGGCCAGCCTAACCTCTCTGTGGCCTGAGACCTTCAAGATGTTTTTATTTGAAGACCGTAAGTTTCTCTGTGGGGCATACCAGGAGAGGCGGTCCCGTAGGTATGAGGGTCCTAGTCCGTATAGGGCTTTAAAGGTTAAAACCATCACCTTAACAGCAGAACAGTCTCCAGATCACGCGGGGAACAATGGTTCTGCTCTGTTCAGGTTGCCTTGTGGATCTGGGTGTGCCACATATAACAAAAAGACGTTGCTAAACTGTGTTGTGTTTCCAGAGGAGGGTGACCACAATGTTAAGGAAGCTGGAAACCGAGCCTTGTGAGGAAAGAGTTGAAATAGCAGGGGGGGATGTGCAGCCTGGAGATGAGAAAGTCAAGGGGGGGAGCATTTTAGCGTTCTTCTTCAGGAGGTGGCATAGACTAGGGTCCCGGCCACACAATACAGCATTTCAAAACACGCTGGTTCCCTCCAGGAATTATGGGGATTGCATCTTACTGTTACGGACTGGTTGAACGCAGAGGAATGGTGGGAGAAACTAGCTGGGGAACCCCCTCCCCAGGGAAGAAGACTCAGAGACCGGGGATGGGTGGTGGGACAGAGGGAGAAGACTGGGAGGAGGAGGTGTCAGAGGCTGAAGAGGCAACAGGGTTTAGTGAGCTGGGAGACTCTGTGGCAGATAGAAGTCCAGAATAAGAAGTAGAGGCTGAAGCTGGGGGGGGGTGGGAGTCAGAGATGAAACAGACTGGGAAGAGTCTGTTGCTGCGACCAGCTCCCCTCCTCCCTGGTTTCTTAGAACCAGGAGAGGCACGGAGAGAGAGGATGAGAAATTAGCTTCAGGGAGGCACAGGTGCATAGCTGTCAACTTACAGATTTGAAAATAAGGGACCAGCAGCCTCAACAATAAGGGATCAGCAGCCAAAATAAGGGATTTTGCGAGCACAGGTATGTTCAACTTCTGAGCCCCTCCGAGCCAAAGGCAGAAAGCCCAGCCAGCAGCCAAACGAAGCCTCAAGCGGTAGTTCCCACAACACAGCAACTCGGCAAAGGGGATGCAGCAAGGAAAACCACCGTCACCTCTCCGCTGGGAAGCGCTGAGCAAAGGCGAGTCCCCAGGCAACGCGGCCGATTTGATTGGCACAAGGCATGCAAGCTCCACCCCCAGTCGTTGTTAGACTCCTTATTGGGTAGCAACGCAGCCAAGCAACACAGTTGGAGCCTACCTCCTCCCTGGCCGGCAGGGAGGGAGGGAGAGGAGCTGCTTCCTTTGAAACCCGGGAAATTTAAGGGACATCATCAATAAGGGACAGCAGCGGGACACGGCGCTGGGATAAGGGAGTTTCCCGCCAAATAAGGGACACTTGACAGCTATGCACAGGTGGTGGCCTGCGAAGCTTCACGGTGGTGACGGGAGATGGCGGCAGTAGCGGTGGCAGCCTGCAAGGCCTCGCAGCAGCAGCAGCACAAACAGTGACAACCTGCGAGGCCTTGCGGCGGTGATAGAGAGTGGCGGCAGTAGCGGCGGCCTGCGAGGACTCGCAGCAGTGGCGGGAACTGGCGGCAGCAGACTGCGAGGCCTTGCGGTGGCGATGGGAAGTGGCAGCAGTAACGGCACTGGCCTGTGAGGCCTTGCAGTGGTGGCATGATTTGGTAGCAGGAGTGGCAGCGGCCTGCAAGTCCTCCTGGTGGTAGTGGGAGGCGGTGGCAGAAGCTGTGGCGGCCTGCCTCAGCGAGGCCTCAGCTTCTGCCGCTGTTCACCCACAACTTAACAGCCACTGCAAGGCCTCACAGGCCGCCACTACTGCCACTGCCATGGCAAGGCCTTGCAGGCTGCCCCTGCCACCCACTGCCATGGCAATGCTTCGCAGGCTGCTGATTATTGTGCCCCTTATGCCAGGCTGCTGCCGCTTCTGCCTCCTAGCAGGCCTGCTGGCAGCCTGGCGGTCCCAGATTATTTGCATTCACTATGACTCAACACCGTACTTTGGATTCCCCTGAATTTGGTAGGCAAGTCCAAAACCCAAAGTCCTGTTGGAATGTATTTTGGCTTGCCTGCTAATGAAACGGAGTGTGTGTCGATTGAGAATGTTGTCATTTAACCATTTTGGACCCCTAAGTACTAGTAGTCGTCAGGACATTGTCCTGTTCGCCTCTGTATAGTTCCTTCCTTATTTCAGATATCGTCAGATATCGATATATCGCGATGTCCTGCTGGTGATACGTTGCGATACCATAGCTGCCAACCTTCCCTTTTTTGCGGGAAATTCCCTTATTCCAGCGCTGTTTCCCGCTCCTATCCCAGATTGTTATATATCCCGTAGGCTGTCCCCGGGGCAGGTGAGGCTGCTGATCCCTTATTTTCAAATCTGAAAGTTGACATCTATGTGCAATACTGATAACCAGTTATCGCTCAGCCCTAGTGTGGAGAGCAGGGTGATTTTGAACAAAGCCTTTCACTGCGTGACTTTGCGTTTAGTCATGAGGCAGGGTGCTGTGGTGAGCGAGTGAAGAAATAAGTTGAGTCATTAGATCACATGTGTATTTGCTGCTCATTAAGAGAGAGGAGGAACAAGGGACAAACCCAACCCCAGAAAATCTAGTGCTGGGCTTTAGTGAGTAAGTTCATTGTGTGGTTTTTATTTTCACAAAAGCTTCAATCCTTTGCATTTGCAGGCAGGAGTGCAAGAGAACCCCTAATTCAGATGTAGGCAGCACTGAGCCAACAGTCTGATTCTCTGTGACAACCACTCTTCCCAGTCTTGACGTTTGCCTCTTGCAGGGCTGAGCCTTTTAAAAGAGGCTCCCAGGCGCTGAATCCTTGGTTTAGAGATCTCCTGGCCTTGTTGCCTTACGTGTTCCAAGACCTGACACTGAAAACTGGCTTGGGAAATGAACGGGACACAGTGATGGAAACCAGAGCGCACGGAAATGCCGTTTACCTTCCCACCACAGCGGAACCTATTTATCTACTCGCACTGGTGTGCTTTCGAACTGCTTTGGAGAATTGGCCCGGTTGCTTATGATCCCTGCTTGGGAATCTCTTATGGGGGGGGAGAAGAGAGGCAGGCGAACCAGAAAGGGGGCAAGGATGGGGCGGTTTTCTCCTGAGATTACCTCCTTCTGTTGCCTCCTGGCTGTGCATTCTGATGCACACAGTAACAAGTGGATTCCAGCCACTTTTAATTAAGCTGAAAATGTGTGGGGTGGAAAGGGGGAAAAAACACCCCTTTGCTGCATCTGAGCTGTAAAAAGCTCCTGTTCCTTGAAATCGGTTTCCAAAAAGGGTTAAGGAATTGCAGAATCAGAAGAGTCTAGACAGTGGTGTCCAAACTTCTTTCAAAGAGGGCCAGATTTGATGACGTGAAGGGCCTTGAGGGCCGAAAAGGGCCAACCACAGTTGTTTACCTTATTTTAGGATTGAAGTTGTTGAGGTTTTTTTAGGATTTTACCCCAGGAAATAAACTGCCACAGGGGCCGGATTAAACTGATTAGGCCCCTGAAATGGACTTTGGACTTGCCTTGTCTAGGAGAGATTTGATAGCGGCTGAATGCAACATTCCTTTCTGCTGTTAGGGTGGTTCATTAGCAGTTGGTAAGGGATGTGGGTGGCGCTGTGGACTTGCCGATTGGAAGGTCGGCGGATCGAATCCCCGTGATGGGGTGAGCTCCCGTTGCTCTGTCCCAGCTCCTGCCAACCTAGCAGTTGAAAAGCACACCAGTGCAAGTAGATAATTAGTTACTGCTGCGGTGGGAAGGCAAATAGCATTTCCGTGCGCTCTGGTTTCCGTCACTGTGTCCCGTTGCGCCAAAAGCGGTTTAGTCCTGCTGGCCACATGACCCAGAAAGCTGTCTGTGGACAAATGCCAGCTCCCTCGGCCTGAAAGCGAGATGAGCGCCACAACCCCATAGTCGCCTTTGACTGGACTTAACCGTCCAGGGGTCCTTTACCTTTTGATTAGCAGTAATTCTGCCATGGTAAAAAGTAAACGCTCACACACTGAATTGCGAACTGGCTGAGTTTGTTGGCAGTGGATGTTGCAAAAGCTGCAGCTATCTGAATAGCATTCAAGGACTGCACAAATTCATGAAGCGTTCGTCAATCCAAGGCTGAAAATCAGTGGCTGAGTACTTCTGTTTCTCAGAGGCTGCGGGGGGGAGGGGGGGCAATCTCCCTTTGGCTGTTGTATCTGGCTGACCAACGTTGCAGATGGAATTTTGACCCTATTCCAAGGGGACCAGTTCCGAGAGATCCCACAATTGTCTTTGCCGCCTAATAGGATTGATGTGTGTGTATTGGGGAGGGAGGAGGACAGGACTAGTGCCAGCTGAATGACCCTTAAGGAAGAAAATGAAGCCCCTCCTCCTTCTCCCCCTGCAGGTGGTAGATGCCATGAAGCAGATGCAAGAGAAGAAGAACGTTGGGAAAGTTGTGCTGATTCCCGAAGCACCACCGAAGGACGAAAGCAAAGCAGCAGAAAACTAAAGTGAAAGGCGTGGGTGGATTGTCTGACCTCAGGTCCTCATGTTGTTGTATTTTGGGTTGTGTTTTTTTTTTTTTTTTTTTAAAACCTGTCCCCTCTCCCCATGTCTGACCCTTTGATGGAAGTAGGAATGGGCATATAGATCTCTCACTGCTGTTCATGGAATAAGTGGTGTAAGGACCGAAAAGACACATGTATTGTCGTCGGCTGGAGGCGATGCAAGCTTCTGGGTTTCACAGAACGCTTTGCACCATCTCTAAAGCATTGGCCGGCCTCCTTTCAAAAGTAAATAAATAGAAAGTAATCACAGAGAGGAATTGCATTGATCCTACATCTCTGCTCCTGTAGCGTTAACACTTCATTAAAGGAATAACGAGGCCCAATGTGAACTTGCAGGTGCCTGAGTCAAGTTCACACCCACTGAAATTTCCTCTTGATTTCTGGCTCCTTCTTTTACCTTTATTTGTAACCTACCCACAACTCCACAAAATCCATGCCAAATTCACCTCCGGAGCCCGCTTCTCTTCCCGCCCAGTCCCTCCCCTGCCTCTGGTGACTAATAACTTTAGAGCACGTAAAACTCACATTATTATTACAGCAGCCATCGAAAGTCTCCATGGAAACGGAGCTTCAAACCTGCCGCTTCCGATGGGCAAATTTAATAAGCAGGACGCATCCAACTTTTTCAGCTCTGCTGTGGCAAGAAGAATGGAGGACAGGGAGAGAATTGTGCCTCTGCGTTATCTTGATGCAGACATGCTCTTGATCCTGTCACCTCCTCCAGTAGGCAAATGTCCGTTTGCTACGCTGGCAACCTTAGCATATCTAAACCATTTTTTTAATAAATAAAACCCTGCCCTGGCAATTGCAATGGTTATGTGAAGGAGGCAACAGAAAGCACCTAGGTTTCTTTTGAGAGACACTTTGGGGTTTCCCCCCCCCCACTCTAATTGGGTTGTGTAGACACATACACAACAGTGCCAAGCAGCTGACTAGTCTGCAACCAGCTGACTTGTCGGCAATCTCAAAAATTGTGCTATCGCTTGCAGAATCAGCTGTCCTGGTCATGTAAATGGCACATGACTTGGTGGTTGGATGTTTGAATGGGGAAAACAATCTGTATTCAATCTAGCTGGAGGGAGGAACACTGAAACCCTTCCCTGCTGCAACTCTTGGTTGTCGTTTTTTCTTCGAGAGCAAGAGCACTTTCAGGTGCGTGGCACAGGCTGGTTGCCTTCCAGAACGCAGCTAGCAGAATTACACGCCGGCTAAATGTTCCCTCTACGTTTGCATTTCCTGTCAGGCTGTGGGAGAACAGAAATTTAGCAGTTGTCTGCAACGAGCAGAGAGTTTCTGCTTCCGGTCCTGTCACTTTTGGTTAGTGGTCTGTGTGGAAAATGAGTCGCTGTGCTGCCTTAAGCTGTGTTGTGTTTATATCCAGGTTCATCTGCCACTTCTGCGGGCTCTAATCTCTTCTTCGAGCCTTCTTTCCCCCCTCTCTTCCATTTCAGCAAACCTCTCGACCTTTTTAAGTCCTCGGGCCACAAAGCATCGCTCTGTAGCTCGACACATGGAGTAGATACGGCCCTTAAAAATTGCACCAGTTTTGAGTTTCCCCTCGAAGCACTGCTGTATCTGCCTTGGGGTCAGCTCTGGCCCACCTTCCAGGAAGCTGCTCTAGGTCCAACCAAAGGGATCCAACTCACTTCCCCTTGATGTTCATTCCTGGCGAAGGCAGCAAACCTCCAAGGCTAGTGTTCTGCCTCTGTCTGGCGTAAAGAAACGACAAAAAGCACAGGGAATCGCAGCAGTAAAACCTGGGCATTTTCCCCTGGTTCCCTTTCCCCCTCTTCCCAGCCCTGTAGTGAGAGTGGAAGGCAACCGTGGGCTGTGTTTTGGCTCACGGCGAACCCTTGGTGCCAGGAATTGGTATCAGGAATTGCCTGCAGGAGTGTTTCCACCTTACCTTATGGTAAGAAGGGACAGACAACCTGAGGCCCGCTAGAGCTCCCATCAGTCACAGCCAGCATGGCCAGTCGCCCAGCAACATACAGAGGGATGCGAGTTCTCCATCCCTGCCTTTTAGGCCCTGTTGCGGGAGGCACGGAGACTTCACACCTTATAATAATAATAATAATAATTTATTATTTATACCCCACCCATCTGGCTGAGTTTCCCCAGCCACTCTGGGCGGCTCCCAATCGAGTGTTAAAAACAACACAGCATCATAAATTAAAAACTTCCCTAAACAGGGCTGCCTTCAGATGTTTTTTAAAAATAAGACAGCTGCTTATTTCCTTGACATCTGAAGGGAGGGTGTTCCACAGGGCGGGTGCCACCACCGAGAAGGCCCTCTGTGTGGTTCCCTGTAATCTCACTTCTCGCAATGAGGGAACCGCCAGAAGGCTCTCGGCGCTGGATCTCTGTGTCTGGGCTGAACGATGGGGGTGGAGACGCTCCTTCAGGTATACAGGACTGAGGCCGTTTAGGGCTTTAAAGGTCAGCACCAACATTTTGAATCTCGCACCTTCAGCGTGTGAGAGTGCTGCGTGCCCAAAAAGAGCCTTTCCCAGTCCATCCAAGCATTTGGCTGCTGAAGCAGTTGCTGATGCCGACGTTTTTCAAGGCGTTCCCTTTAGCTACCCACACACGCAACAAACAGGTCCATTAGCAATTTCTGCGAGTGAGCTAGGCAAGGAGGTTTCTTACGCCATCAGCATGGAAAATAACTTAACAACCGAAAGTCAGAAGGATTATTCTAACCAAAAGTTGCAAAGAGCCGATTCTGGGAACTATTTTCTTTTTCCTTGCTGCGCCTCTTTTCTTTTTGTCCCAGGATATATTAACCCTCCATGTAAAGTGCTGGAATATTTTTTTTTGGGAGGGGGGGCTGTCCCATCTTCTCAAGCAACTTGGATTTAAGGCCATTTAGCATGGGTCAAGCATCCTTCATCCTACCATGCCACGCTTAGCAAAGGGTATCGCAAATGTCAGATTAATTCTTACAGGGCCCTAGAGTTGGGTGCGGCCAAAAGTGGAGCACATGATCTGATCTGCAGGCAGGTGGTCGCAAGTTCAGTCCTTGCTGGCTATTGTTGAAAGATGTCGGGAAAGACTGATGGCACGAAAGACTCCCGGCTGTGAAATCCTGGCCACTGGCGCTCCATATTCTGACTTGGCACAAGCCAGCTTAACGCATGTTCACAAGGCAAGGTCGGCTGGCTCACAGATCAGTCAAATGCAACCCAGGCCAAGATGGGCTGTTAGTGGCGAGCGGCTATACTGAAGAACAAACATTGCCTGGTGACTTGCTGAGGCTGCGAACCTCCCAACATAGTCCTTTCTTCTCCTCTAAGTCCAGGTCACTTGTGTGTTCACCCAGTAGTAAGCCCCACTGAGTTCAGTGGGACTTACTCCAAGGTAAGTTTGCATAGGATTGCAACATTTGCCGGCGGGACTCCCAACTCTGCCGTGTGCTAAGTGAAAAAAAGATAACACATGGAGCTTCCATCTCCCACAGAGAGAGGGGAAATGGTGCAAAAATTCACTATTCCGTGTTTTTTAAAAATATATATAGCCTCCTTTCTGTCTTGCCTTCCTCCTTGCTGCTGCCTGGTGCCTTATTCCGGATGGCATTCCAAAACTCTTGTAACCTCATCCTGTTTAATACTGCAAGGGACCAGCCTTGCCTTGGTAAGAACTTCTATGCTGCATTGTTACTCCACCCCACCCTGTCGCCAGTGCCTTGTTCAGACATTGAGTAAGGTCTATCTAACCCCAGAAGCCTTTGCCAAAATCTGAGTTGTTTAGAAGATTTCTCCTCCCTCTCGCTGGGAACTTGTGTGAACACACAATTATTTATGGCTTGTATTTTACACAAGCAGCGATGAGGCTGGCACATTTCAGTGTGCCTCTGCACAAGCGCATGAACCCGTGATGCTCTCTGAGAACTTGAGCTGAGCTCTCCTGAGATCCCAAATGCTGTGGTCATTGGACATTTTCAGAGATGTGCTGAGAAGGTCTTTCTGCTGTGCAATCTTACACACACACCTCCTCAAAAGGAAGACCTATTATGCTCAATTAGACTTTCTCCCAGGTAAAATATATGTAAGGTTGCAGCCTTAAATCTTCCAGAGCACCACTTCTGAATATTAATGTGCTCTAGGAAGCTACAAGGAGCATGAATTTGGCTCAGTAGCTTTTTAAAAAAATGGTTATCCCACTGCTCTTGGGAAGAGAGAGGTGAAAAGGCATTCGTCCCATGTGCAAAAACACTTACAAAAACCTGAAAACATGAACCCGTAGCAACAGCAAGTGATGATCCTATTCCCTTCCTGTTCGTGTGTTTTTTTGCAGCTCCCCCCACACCTGACAGTTCTGAAACACTCCTCCTGAACAGTAAAATATCTCCCCCTTTGTGCTAGACATTTAACACAGACTTGTCTTAGTGCTCAGTACCTAAAGTTTTTTTAAAAAGATAAATACAGGAGACATCCAATCTTAAAGCACTATAACTTTGCTCTTTGTTGCCTTGCTGATTAACACTGTAATCTTGAATTTTATAGTAACGCCCCCTTATTTTGTGACTTAATTGTGTGAGAGTATGACTGTTGAGTGTGTGTTTAAGACAACTGTTTTTTGGTTTGTTTTTTTAACGGGCCACAGGTATTAAATAAAGGCCCTTGGCCCTCTTAAAAAAATAAATAATTTGTTAAAACTGCATGTACTTAACTTCAAGGACCAAAGTGGGGGTGGGGAGAAAGATAAGCTGTCACCTGAGTTTTCTTGACTCCAAAGGGCAAAACTTGTCACAATAAGAACGCTCTTGTTTTCTGTACGGATTTTTGTTGCACTGTTTCAAGATAAGATGAAATGGCGTTTTGAGCTAAAGCGAGGCAGGTGAAGGCTGCTGTTTAGGATATGGTGGGCTATAATGGAGGGCCAAAGTCTGAACAATTCAATTGCAAGTGTGCCTTCTCACCCCTTCTCCCCTCCAGCTCAATGGACTTTAAGCACAACACCACACCCAAGCTATTATGGAAGGCAATGAGGCTATCTCAGTTTCACTGCCTTCCTAAGCTACTGGCCCCCATGTGAGCTACAGTTCGACGCATTTTGGTGTGGTATGGACAGCGCCAGTTCCCACCATGTAAGGAACCATTCACACAACATAGGTGTGAGAGGCAAAGTAGCCTCAGAGTGATTTAAAAATAAAACCATCACGTGCCAAAACTGAGCACGGATTTTATCCAGAAAATCCTCACGACGGTGGGCCTCCTTGCAAATTATCAAAATCACAGTTGCCTAATCCACATTTTGCGGGACGCGGGTGGCGCTGTGGGTAAAACCTCAGTGCCTCGGACTTGCCGATCACATGGTCGGCAGTTTGAATCCCCGCGGCGGGGTGCGCTCCCGTCGTTCGGTCCCAGCGCCTGCCAACCTAGCAGTTTGAAAGCACCCCCGGGTGCAAGTAGATAAATAGGGACCGCTTACTAGCGGGAAGGTAAACGGCGTTTCCATGTGCTGCGCTGGCTCGCCAGATGCAGCTTGTCACGCTGGCCACGTGACCCGGAAGTGTCTGCGGACAACGCTGGCTCCCGGCCTATAGAGTGAGATGAGCGCACAACCCTAGAGTCTGGCAAGACTGGCCCGTACGGGCAGGGGTATCTTTACCTTTTAATCCACATTTTTACAACGTTCCTATCTGTAACTATTCTGGTGGTGGAGGGAGTTGGGGGTGGGTTAAAAGCACTCGGTTTTTCACCTCTGCGATAAAGAACATTGATCCTCAGGCAGATTGGCAGGACACACCAGACTTGGCGTAAACGTCCTTCAGAATTTGAAGA